TCTAGTCTGGTGGGTTTGTGGGCATTCCTTTGCCTCTAAACCAGGGGTGGGGAACCTTTTTCCTGCCCAGGGCCATTTGGATCTTTCTAACGTCACTTGGGGGCCATACAGAATGACCAGCTTAAACATTCGCCTGCTCGATCTGGTCAAACATTTCATTAGTCTTGACTGGGCCAGACCAAATGATTTCTCAGGCCTTACGCAGCCCAGCCCGCGGGCTGGACATTCCTCACCCCTGCTCTAAACTTTTCCTGTCATTCTTCCAAGACACAAGTGGGTCCCTACGCCCAACAGCCCAAGAAAACAGTCCCAGTGTGTTAGGTGCCAAGTGGCAAAGGTGACGCTGCTTCTTGGGCCAGGCCCGCTGTGCTCTGGGCCCCAAACCTCGGTCCAAGATGATGCCGGCTCTCAAAGATTCCCAAGTCAGGTGACACGTATTTTAAGGAAGTTGTTCCCTTGAAGATTCCTTCCTTCCTTCCCCCCTTCCTTTCCTTTCCTTCCTTCCTTCCTTCCTTCCTTCCTTCCTTCCTTCCTTCCTTCCTTCCTTCCTTCCTTCCTTCCTCCCTCCCTCCCTCCCTCCCTCCCTTCCTTCCTTCCTTTCTTCCTTTTTTTTTTCCCGACTACTAGATAGCTTTGGAAATTAGCTTTTGCTGCAGATTTGAAAATGTTTCTTAATGAATTCAACTTACAATTACAAGACTTTCATTCTCTGGTTCCTGGAAGCTCCGTGTGGTCCAGGGACTCAAGCCTGGGCTGTGGGCCTCACTCTCCTGCCCAGTGAGGTCGGGGCAACCTGGGCTCTGGGAGACCTGGCCGAGCCGCTCACCCTCTGGGAGGCCCCTGGCCTTGGTGTTGTGTTTATCACCAAGCCTTCAGAGCGAGAGCTAACCGTTGGCTGTTTGCTAATGCTCCAGGCACTGGGTTGCCTCCTTCACCAATATTAACCCAGTCAACTCTCACCACAACCCCGGATGGAGGGGCTATCATTAGCGTCATCCAGATAATAAAGTGGGAGAACTGAGACACAAAGAGGGCCCCTGGTAAAGCCAAGCCAGGCGTCAAACCCGGGCAGACTGGTTTCAAAGATGAAGTTTGGAACCACCTGGCTGCATCCCCTTCCGTGGGGGTTAGCTCTCTCCACACATGCAGGTGGCACATGTGTACGTTTACCGAGTGTCCGCCGTGTGCCAGCCACATGCTCGGGAACTCTGCTGGCAGGGAATCAGGCCCGCCGTGACCGATACGACATAGATCTTGCTCTTCTGGAGTTTTCTTCTTCCAGTCTGTAGAGTTGGATGGCACAGGTTCTGTTTTCATCCGAATTCAGAAAAACATTGTCAAGACAGTCTTCAATGGAAGTCCAAGGAATTCAGTAGTGAAACTCTGAAACCAAGACGTGTCAAACTAGCTTCAGTCTGAAGTCATATTTAAGCTCCCAAATACTTGATGAGTCCTTTAGTGATTAAATCAAGAAAGCCTGGCCTGGGAGGGGTGAGGTAGAAATAAGTGATGAACTAAGAAATGACTTAAAGTGACGAACCAAAGGTTTTTCTGGCCTCTGCCCCCAGGAGCCCATATAATTCCTTGAATTTATCAGTTTAAATCCTCCCCAACCCCCCTGTCTTAATACATAAATGCCTTCTTCCTCGATTCCTCACTCACTTCTGAAGTCACTTCCTCTCGTGCAGTGGTTCTCAACCTTCCTGACGCCATGACCCTTTAATTCAGTTCCTCATGTTGTAGTGACCCCCAATTTCATTGTTACAAACTGAACATAATTAAAGCATAGTGATTAATCATAAAAACAATATGTAATTTATATGTATTTTCCGATGGTCTTAGGCGACCCCTGTGAAAGGGTTGTTCAACCCCCAAAGGGGTCGCGACCCACAGGTTGAGAACCGCTGCTCTAGTGTGTCCTGCCAGAGAGGGAATGCCTGGTAAGGAAACAGTGAACCAAAACAGTCATTATATTCTTTTTAACTTGCGAAGAATAATGTTGCCTTGTAGTTACTTTTGTCCTCATTTTTTAAAATATATTTTTATTGATTTCAGAGAAGAGAGAGAGAAACATCAGTGATGAGAGAGAATCATTAATCAGCTGCCTCCTGCATGTCCCACACTGGGGATGGAGCCCACAACCCGGGCATGTGCTTTGACTAGGAATTGAACTGTGACCTCCTGGTTCATAGGTTGATGCTCAACCACTGAGCCACACCAGCTGGACTGTCCTGATTTTTAAATGTAGAAACTCAGATCCATGTTATTTTAAGATTTTTCACCAAGAAGTTTCTTGCCAGAGATAGGATTTCCCTAAAGCACAGAAGCTGTTCATTCCTTCCTTCCAGGGAAATGATGGGGGTGGGGGGCGAGGAGTAGGGGCCTCCCCAGGTCCCAGGCACCAGCCTAACCCTCGAAGGCCAGTTGGTTTAGCAGAGGAACCAGGCAGATGAAGAGTAACTATGTCAGTTACCTAACAGATGATGCTCAGAAGACTGGAGGCCGAGAGGAGGAAGAGCCGAGTGTGTTCGTGATAACCGTAACCTTCCCATAAGCGAGACCTGGAAATGGGAGTGGGTGGTTACAAATGAGGGGGAAACGTTTGCAGTGTTTCCTTCTGGAACAATCATGTCACGACCTTCCAGTAATCTAAGAAACGGAGAAGCACTCATCCACGGATGGTCCTTTATATGATGATCACAGGGACCAAAGATATGGCGCACCGTGTTGGATGGAGTTGTGCACATCTTAGTGCAGACTCCAGTAAAGAGCTCTCGGGAGTCACATAATTGCAACAACGTTCCGCGCAGCACTGGAATCATTGTTTTAAAATATATATATATTTCACCGATTTTTTAGAGAGGAAAGGAGAGGGATAGAGAGTCAGAAACATTGGATGAGAGAGAAACATTGATCAGCTGCTTCCTGCACACCCCCACTGGGGATGTGCCCGCAACCAAGGTACATGCCCTTGACTGGAATCGAACCTGGGAGGGACCTTTCAGTCTGCAGGCCGACACTCTATCCACTGAGCCGAAAGGGCCAGGGCATGGAATCATTTTTCAATAAAGAAGGTATGCACTCTGCGCAGGAAATAAAGCAAGCTTCCCGTGCGCGGTGAGGGCGGCTGGATGGACTTCAGGATGGGGAGAATGGAAGGCAGGGCTGGGCTGAGGGCAGACGCCAGCCAGGATCGCCTCTCCCCCAAAACAAGCAGGAGAAAGCTTTCCTCAGGTGGAATTGCGTGTGTGGAAGCGCCGGATGCTGTTAAGGGTCACTTATTAAACCTCCTCTATGAGCTCCCTGTAACTTCGCATGGTGGGTTTTTTAAAGTAAGCAGCTGGGGGGCGGGGGGGGGGGGGGCGGACAGCGGGAGAGGGGTCGGGGGTAGGTTTACAGCCAATCGGTTTTTCTGGTTCTTCCCGGTAAATACTAACCTCAAGAGGTGTTTTCCAACATGTGACGACATATCGTGATGGGCAGAGGATTTTGGAAGCGGGTCAAGGACTGGCGCCAGGAGCCGACTCAGCCTCCGCGCGACCAGGGCCCGGCGCGCTCTCCAAGGTGCGTCCTTGGTCGGTGTCGCAGGCGGGAGGCCTGCCGGTGGTTTGCAAACTGTCTAGGCAGCATCTGAAACGGCTGCTTTTGCAAGTCCGTTAAAAAGTGTCTTGCACTTGGAGGTTTTTTGTTTTGGGGTGTGTGTGTGTGTGTGTGTGTGTGAGTGTGTGTGTGAGTGTGTGTGTGCGCGGTGTGTGTGTGTGTGTGTGTGTTGGTTCTGCTAGTCTCCTCCCCCGCCCTCTGGCTTTTTCCAGCGGAGACCTGCCCTGGGGGGCATTTTGTCCTGGGAGCACAAAGCTATTTTCTTTTCTGAACAGAAGTTGACGTCAACCGGAGCTGTTTTGGTTGCTTTGTTTCCCCGGAGCGTCCAACCCAGCACATCGCCTCGGGGAAACTGCTGGCAACTCAAAGCAGCTTGTGGGGCAGGGAGGGGAGCTGGGGGCGGGGGACCCCCGCTGCCCGGCCGCAGACGTGGGGAGC